AAATTACACTAATAACAATGACTATAAGAAAGAAGAAAATGTTATAAATTGATTGTGGTGTTGATTGTACAACTCTTCTTGATATGATTTAACTATTGAATTGCGTGATATGTGGATGAATTGCCAAAAGAACTGTTTAAGGGAAAAAAAGTACATTAGGAAAATCAAACCTCCTGTCATATTAAATGAGTTAATATGTTTATTGGATGTTATAAAGTTAGTAGTTTTGTTTACCATTTATTTTGCTCTAGGATCCCATAAGACTTATACACATAAAAAAATCTATACTGATTTTTTTTTGCTTATACTAATTTAACCCAACTTTAGAATCAAAAACAAAATTATTTTTAACTGACTGAAATGTCTTTGAGCTCAAAAATTCAAAAACTCCATGCTGCCCTCTGTCTAACCATATTCCAGACACGTTGTTAACAATAACTTTCACAAAGTAGGATTCATCTCTCTCAGTTTGGTGACTTAGTGGATTGCTAGTTAAACAGCAAACTTCAAGATCAGCAGTTCAAAACCACCAGCCACTCCATGGGAGAAAGATGAAGCTTTGTAGTCCCCTAAAGATTTACAATCTTGCAAATTGACATGGACAGTTCTACTCTGTCCTACAGGGTCACTATGTACTGTATCACAACGGGCTCGATGGCAGTGAGTGTTTTGTCAGCCTCACTTTCACAGTCAAGACTCCCTCTTTCAAGAGGTACAATGCAAAGTCCTAGAGATTGAGAACTTGGTGGTATTTTGTGTTTCTAAATATTAAATCCATGCTCAGCACCCAAAGATATGCACCATTGGGCTGCTCACGACCACCTGTTCTGTAGGGATTATCCAAAGGGAGGTTCACCACTGATCTGCATGATGGTGATGTCATGAAAAATGCTAAGAACCTGCCTTTAAAGGAGTTTATAGCTTTGGGGTGAAGTGTGCTGTTGGTCAGCAAATGTGCCTCACATTTCAGAGCCCTTACTTTTCACACATGGCCACCACATGTGGCAAAATGTACTTCCATATAATATGAAAACCAATGTAAATTTGCCCAGGTTCTTGGTCAGGAGAAGGGCTAGAATCTGGAGGGGACTTTATTGTGCAGTAAACTTTTTCTCTGTTCTACAGGTCAGGATTTAAGCTTACTTCCAAAAATGAAAGCATTGGAATGGGAAAATCAGAACACGTATTATGATGGAGAAGATGGGAATTACAGTTACAGCACAGGCATGCCCGATATTGACCTAGATTCAAGCCCCTGCCAGCCAGTAGCACTTGAAATCAACAAGAATGCTGTGATCACCATCTATGCCCTGGTGTTTCTGCTGAGCCTGCTGGGGAATTCTCTGGTGATGCTGGTCATCTTATATGACCGGGTCAGCTCCTCTGTCACAGACATCTACCTGCTGAACCTGGCCGTGGCTGACTTGCTCTTTGCCCTGACACTGCCCATTTGGGCTGCTTCCAAGAAGAACGGATGGACTTTTGGCACAACCCTATGCAAGGCGGCCTCACTCGTGAGGGAAGTCAACTTCTACAGTGGGATCCTACTACTGGCCTGCATCAGTATGGACCGCTACCTGGCCATTGTCCACGCCACACGCAAACTGGTCCAGAAGCGCCCCTTGGTCAAGTTCATCTGTCTGGCCATCTGGACACTGTCCCTGGTGCTGTCCCTGCCTGTAGTCCTCTTCCGCAAGAC